TTTACTTTAAGCTAGAGTTTTAACATTGTTGTAGATTTAAACTCTTGACTAGTTTCATACCACTCTGCAGCTCTCTACCAGATACTGCACTTAACAGTTTTGTGGAGCCAGTTGGTGCTCCTTACCTGCTTTGTTGCTGTTAGCTGTTACGCTAGCAGTTAGCTTTTTCATTTTGTCAATCCTCAATAAGAATCACAAGAAGAAGTTTGCTTTTCTGTTGGCATCATGGCGGAGCCTGGAAGTAAGAGAGTAGCGTTGTTGGAGGCGAAGCAAAGAGCTAAAACTGGAGGCGCGGCTTACGCTAGTTTGAGGAAGCTAAAGGAGGCTACAACATCACGGACTGATGGTGACCTGGCTTTGTTGCTACTGGACTTGTTAGTAAAAAAAAATCTCCAACAGTGTGAATCTTTTTACTGTGTGGTTAATTTCAGTATTAATTGGCTTGTGTTAGTGTTAGCTCATTGTTAGCACTAGCTACAGCAGGCTGCTACAGGGTTGTTAACCCTCTCAGGCTCAAAATAAGTTTTGATAAAAGGACGAACAACTAAGTCTTTCAGAGGTACTTCTGAGTTTAAAAAAATGCTCGTGAAATACGTATGTGGAGTAACCAGGTAGGTAGGTTTTAACTGTTGCAAATATGCAACGCCTGCCTCCAGAGGGTTAATGAAAGTTGTAATTCCACTTTTAACCAGTAGGGTGGAGGAGATGAAAACTGCTCACTGTCACTGTAAGGTAAAAATAAGACATGACTTAAATTCAAACAAGAGATATCCTTTCTGCTAAACAGCAGCCTGAAAAATCTGCCTCCAGAGGGACTATAACTCTTTTCTCTCAGGTTAGGAAAACGTTCAACCACCCACAACGACACAAAACATTTCTTGTGATTCTAACACGTGTACATCCCTCTCTGCTCATGCACAACCAACGGATTTTCTTCCTTCGCTCCCTTCGTGCTGTCATTTCTGTCAGTCTCCAGTGCAGGGTAAAACATAGGCTTGAGGCGAACAGACATTGTGCAGGCTGTAAAATAAATAAATAAAATCTAAATGAACTCATCCAACTTGACAAATCTCAGAATAAAAAAAGATAAAAGAAAGCCCAAGCAATATGGCTGCATCAGAGTTACTTAACCTGACTGCTTATGCAAAGTTTTCCCACATCTGCTCTAACATTCTGGATTATAAAGAGAAGAAATAAAACACACCATAGAACGACTGTTTTTGTGCAGCTCAGAATGTCTTTCTTCAAGCTACAAAATCTCATTAAAGTCCGCAGAGAGATAAGACATTTCCAGCTCAAAGTGCTAAGAGCTTACATTAGTGGACCTGTCGTTTATTGGCTCTAATCACACATCCTGTCTGCTGCTGTCTTTTCAACTCGGCCAATTTAGCATGCCTGCATGTGGCTACAAAATGACCCAATTAATTTGATTGGGGAAACCAAGGTTCTAGATGCAGCGTGTGAAAACACGAGTTGAATTGGAAAGCGTGCTGAGGGATGATAATGAGAAATAATTCAGCGACGGGGATGTGAGGAACAGAGTTTACATTCGGTTCAACTAGAGCCTCGAACAAAGACGGAACAACAGCAACTTGACTTTTGTGCTCCAGATGTTTGCAGGGTAACGATCAAATACTCAGCGCATGTTCAGATGAATGAGTGAACTGTTAAACGGTCAAATCTGGAGTGTTTTCTGTTAAGTTTTATGGGTCCGTCACCATCTGCTAGGGATGGCTGAGAGCCAGGAAGTGGACTTCATAATTGAGGCGATTTGGAAAAATGAATCTGAAGAAATTAATGACTCATTAGTTGGGGAAAAAAAAGATATTTTTCAGATGGTAATGAGTGAAAAAAAATTTATGTTAGTATCACCCACTGATATGTTTGTGCTCATGATTTCTCAGATTTAAGAGGGTTGTTTGTGTTTTAGCTGTTTGGTCACAAGATAATTGGTTTGTTTGCATGTTGGGAATAATAATGTGTTTTAATGTTGATGAAAACTTGTTTCCAATCCAAAATGCAAGCATAATTATGATGGAATACGGAGCCTAAATCTTCTCAGCTCATGGGTGCCTGGAAGAACGAAATAAATAAATAAATAAATAATGAATGCAAGTCAATGGGGCTAAAAGAGTTATTTTCTAATCCAGTTTGCCTTACGCCTTAAAATGAAAAGTAATGGTGTGTTTTGACCATTCCTGTCACGTACTTCAACATTTATCAGTTTGTAAAAGTTCGGAATTACTATGACTATAAATCAGACGTCGGCACGTTGCGCATATGACGTCACCACAGAATCTCCTCCCCGTAGCGGAGCTGCCCTAACCCTAACCCCTAACCCTGCTTACCTCATGGCCAGATTTATGGTGGTTCTTTCCTCCCAAAGGAAGGATTTGAAGCTCGCTAAACGTGCAGCCATTTTTCCTCTGCTTTTCTCTGTGTGTGTGGTTTGATTATGTCAATTTGGTGGTGTGCATTTGTAGTCCTGGACATATTTTCACGCAAAATCTAAAATAAAAAAATTCCCCCTTTCAAAATAAGTGCATTCTTGGCATCAGAATGTGTCTTTAAAACTTACAGACATCATTGTAATGTCACGAAATGGCCTGATTTTGAGATCCCACAGGTCAAATGCACAGCCAGGTCAACTCACCCTGGCTATGACACATCCTACAATCTTTTCCCCTCACAGGAGACTCGAAGTCTGCATGTAGTCCCTTTAACCAGAGCCTACTTCCTCACTCCAGCTGGACTGCAGAGATAATAAGTGATAAACAATAAACATTTTCTCCTCCATGGGCCATCACAGAGGAACTCTTTAAAATAAACTCCTTTACTCCCAGAAAGAAGAAGAAAGAAGATTTTATAGTTAAAGATGATCATTAAATATTGCCATTTATAATTATAAATAATGAAATGTTCATTAATCTGTGCTCAATGATTGTTTTAGTATGTTTACTTGACGAGGTCGTAACATTTGCACTCACAAGTAAAGTTAAAAATGCATGACACATAAGTTAACCTTTTTCCTACATTCAGAGTCTCCATCACAGAGAGTGTGTTTCTGCTATGCTTGGTAACATCTCTCAAACTTGTCAGCCCCTGATTGGCTGGTCAAACCATAATATCAATTCTCTAAAACTAGATGGCTTTGAGTAATTAGTCAGTTCTAGAGCGAGCTTCAGACCGGCCATCTTTAGCATCTCTTTAACCAGAAGGATCTTGACACGTCGTCAAAACCTTAAACCTTTTTCGCACCTGCGAAGCTGAACAACAAGATAGTTTTCCTGCAGAACAAAGCTGACTCCAACCTCCTTCAGTGTTATTTTTAAGACACTCAGTTTCATCCATCTGTCGTGACCTGAGAGACATCTCTGGACCGGCACCTCGGTCCTCTACAGCCCTCCGGTGCCAGTGGTTATCCAACCTCTCACTTTCGGATCCACCAAGAGGGTCTCTTAATCCGGGTAAAGTAGACACACAGATAGCGTCTGAATGTGGTTTTGATAATAACAACTTTATAACTATTTGCAAACCAAATTCTTTCCATCCAGAACTCAGCTCTGAGAACGGAGATTCTGAATCCATTATATTCACACATAGGTTCCAGATTATCCTTTAGTTCGCATCCACTCGCAGTAAATAGTAGTTTAAACAATTTGTCAAGTCTTAAAAATAAATTCTTATTTTGTTTATAAACCTGACTGTTTATTGAATCAAAGTGAAGTGTGTACAATCCCTTAATGAATAAAAGAATCTTAGAATCTTCTGACTAACATAAATAAAGACCAGCAGGCAAGGTGACATTCTATTTATATAGAGTATCACAGTTATTGGTCACAAGTAGTGGTAATAATATATATAGCTTTTCAAGCAATTTACTTAACCCAATTTACCCTCTATTATCATGACAACATATATATTAGCTTGTATAGCCCCATTGACCTTCATTCATTTTTTTGTTCTCCCAGGGACCCACGACCCAGAGGATGGGTGTGACTTAGGCTATATTTCAGTATTTTGTGCTTCATTTTTGAATTAGTTTTAAAAGCTGCTAAATGTTTTCCACTCCCCTATCCCTTATGTAAATATCTGACAAATTAAAGTCCAACCAAGTCTAATACAATACTCAGATGCTGTAAGCTCCTGCATGCTTTAACTATAAATGCAACATGAAAAATGAATAAATGGTGCAAAAGTTCATTTAATTGAGTAATCCAACATAGACCAAGAGCCCATCTAAAGGCTTAGGAACCCGTTGCAGGTGTTTTGGATAAATGAGCTGATTAGAGTGACACCTTGAGTCTAGAATATTGATTCTTATTCTAATTGTCGGAGATTTTAAATTTGGGGTTTTCATAAACTGTAAACCAAAATCATCACATCTGTGACGAAAAAAGGCTTGAAATATCTGGCTTTGCACGGAGTCTATCTCATTTATTAGTAACTTTTGAACGATATTCAAATTTTTGAGTTTCATCTGCTGCAATCCTGGTCTCCCAGCCTGTGGGGGTGAGCATTTACTAGACTCTCTTTGTGCACGTCCCTCTATGCTCGCACTCTTATTTCTACACTGTCACCCACCTGCAGAGCCTCATTTTTATTGTTAGCCTCGATAACTGCCTTGTTCCATTTTACTTGTTAACCACTTTGGATAAAACCCTTTGCCAAACACAGAAACGTAAACATTTTTTGATTAAACACAGATTTGAATTTCCCTAAAATGTGAGATTAAAATCAGGCCGCATGTGCATTGTATTCATTATTATAATGGCCGCTGACACACACACACACACACACACACACACACACACACACACACACACACACACACACACACACACACACACACACACACACACACACACACACACACACACACACACACACACACACACACACACACACAAACGCGTTACGGAAGGTGCACTTGCTCCTCTCCTTTTTGAACCCCCCTTCCCACGATCCGCCCACCACCCCAGGCTAAAGTCACGTGTCTAACCGCCTAGTGTCTCTCGGCGAGCCTACACCACCACAAATCAAACTCAGTCAGCGCCCGGTGGAGAGAAGAGGAAGATGAGAGGTAGAGAGGCGTCAATGGACGGAAAGCCCTTGTGACGCCAATGGGCAAAAAAGAGAACATCTATATTTGATTACATCCACCATGGACTCAACACGTTCCGTTTCTGTCGCCATCTGGACAGATGAGATCCGCGCAGGACCGGAGACCTGCTCCTTATTGTGATCTGAAGCAGTCCGCCAGCGTTTCAGCGGTGCGTCGAGGCGGTCCGGGACGCGGGGCGCACCGCTCAGAGCCGCACCGCTTCAACTGCGGACCGAAGAGGATCGGCTCCGTTTGAGCGCAGCTAAAACCCGTGGTCTGAAGGTTATCTTCACCATGAGGGCTCTTTCAGCTAACTTGTTCGCCTTGCTCATACTGTGCGCCCTCGCCAGTATTTTCTACGTGTGGAGCGCACTGGAGAGCCGCTTGGAGCAACACAAGCGGAGGTTCTCTGGAGCGGACGGAGGGTCTGTGCACCAAAGTCTTTCAGAGGACCTCTCCACGAAAACTTTCCGAGCTCTGCTCGCTGTTCCAGCGGCACATATACCGCACTTGGGGGCGAGATTTAAGGTTCACAATCTCACTAGTCAAGCTGCACCCGCGGAAAGTCGGAATTATCACGCGAATGGTGATAAGATGTCAATTGGATGGGAGGATCCGGTTGATGATGGGATATTTTGGAGTAAATGGCTGGAAGATCTCTTCTCTGTCGGGTTCACAGAGGAATATGCTCGGGATTGGAGGCAGAAAGCTAGGGCATCACGAGTAATGAGGCTTGAGCCTGGATGCGGCAGGATATCCAATCAGCTGGCCACATTGGCTGACGGGACCAAGGCGTGTGTGCGTTATGGGATAAACGCGGACCAGGTGCAAGGAGAAACTTTGACGTATTACCTTGCCAGTTTGCTGGGCATCACAAACCTGCCTCCTCTCATCCTGTCCCGGCTGAGCAGAGACAGCGAGCAGTGGGCCGCCGTGAGGACGCGGGTCGGCGGGCTGCAGTGGAGTGATGGAGCCGTGGTCTCCCTCACGGAGTGGATCTCAAACCTGACCGGGGTCGTTACTCCTGCGCCGCTCAGGCAGCAGAGCAGCGGGCTGCATCCTGCGCTGGAGGGGCTCAGGAACAAGTCCACCCAGGAGCTGCTGCAGCTGATGCAATGGACCGACCTGATCATATTCGATTACCTGACTGCAAACTTCGATAGACTCGTCAGCAATCTGTTCAGCCTGCAGTGGGACTCGCGCGTGATGGAGAGGGACACGAACAACCTCCTCCAAACCCCCCGCGGTGACCTTGTGTTCATAGACAACGAGGCCGGACTCGTGCACGGCTTTCGCGTGTTGAGCATGTGGGAGAAATATCACAATTCAGTCCTGAGCTCCGTGTGCGTGTTCAGGAGAAGGACCACGCAGCGCCTGGCAGAGCTGCACAGGCGCAGAGACTGCAGGCAGCGGCTGCTGGAGCTCTACAGAGACAGCGAGCCTTTGTCACAAGAATTAGGATTTCTCTCCGACGAGCACGCGGGGGTTCTCCAGGACAGGATAGACAGATTGTACAAACACATTTTGCATTGCAAAGGAAAGTACAGCCAGCTGTGAGGACTCTGCGTGCACAGGTGATGGATTTGTTGCCTGCACGCTACGATGAGCTTTGGTTCACCTGCGCATAATTGATTATACAGCAGTCTTGAATTATCCAACTTAACTACCTCTTGTGAATAGAATGCGTTGCCTACTTAATGTATAATAAAAATTTAAAAAGCCTCCCATTAGATATTTTCTCCTGGCTTTAAGCCTCCTGCATTAAGGAGAACTCTGGGTGATGCATTTGTTTTATTCTCACCTCAATATGAACAAATGTGGAGTTGTATGTGATGCAGCTCGATGGTCTCACCTTGTGTTCTGTGCATCCCAGTGACACACTCCTAAGCCTTAAACTATAAGTTGAGTTTTTTTGTATTTATGAGGAAAGTTAGCTTTTTTTTCTTGACACTAATTTGCACACATTGTGATAGCTAGCACCTGCACTCTTGTCAATGTGTTTGGATTGTATTTTCAGCCTTAAAGTCACACGTTTGTGATGAATTCTTCCTGTAATTATTGTAAATATTGACTGGCAACAGGTTTTTATGCTGAAGTAATTTAATGTGCATTGCAACATTCCAAAATATTTTCTTTTTTTTAAATACATAGTGGTTTAAACTTGTCTCTTTGTGTTTTTAACTACTTGAAGTTTGGTGTTTCATCCAGGCTAGAGGGTTACAGGCTCCACAGATGCTTAAACTCTTATTTCTGATTATAATCTTTCGTGCAGGCTGAGCATAAAAATAGTCTCCTACACCTATCTCTTTTATTAGCTTCTAATAGAAAACAGACAGTTAAACTCTGTAGAAAGCCTGAAAGATCTGTCACACTGTCACTTAACATTCATGGACTCACAGATCTTGACTCACGACGGGGAAGACGGTTGTTTTAGCATCCAGGAAACAGCAAAGAACGTCATGGCTAGTAGAAGCTAACCGTTAGCATTAGCAACTTCACCACAGGGCAGAACTCCTCCAGACTTGTGTTATACAGAGATAAAACATCAGTGTTGCAAGTCAGTGGTAAAGTTGTGTTGCTGTTGTCCAATCTGGGGCGAAATGTCCAAACATCCAATCCAATCCAATTTTATTTATAAAGCGCATTCAACATGGCATTACAACCAAACAAGGCGCTGTACACCAAAAATGTTAGTGCATTTAAACCACGTTATACAATCATGTCGGACCAACACAGGTAAAGGATAAAAAAGAAATACAACAAAATCCCCAAAACTAACAGCTAAAAATCAATAAGACACAGGGAAATTAAAAATTAGAGAAACATTTTAAGAAGAACCTCAATAGTACGGAAGTTGATATTGTGAATTCCATTTTTTAAACAGTGCAGATGTAAGTGAGGTTCATAATTATGTGGTATACGCTAGGTTGAAGTAGTGAGTTTTCAGGCGTGATTTAAAAATGCTAGCTGTTGGTGCTTGCCTCACTAGTAGTGGTAATGCGTTCCACAGCTTCGGTGCACAGACAGAGAAAGCCCTTTCTCCACGGCTTTTTAAACGTGCATTCGGAACAGCTAGGAGGAGCTTATCTTCAGACCTGAGTGCACGCGGCGGGTTGTAGTAATGGACAAGTTCACACAGATATGGAGGAGCTTGATGGTTCAAGGATTTGTAAGTCAGAAGCATAATTTTGAAGTTTATCCTGAACTGCACGGGCAACCAGTGGAGAGATTTCAGAATTGGAGAAATGTGTTGTCTTCTGTCAGCTCCAGTCAGCAACCTAGCTGCTGAATTCTGGACCAGCTGAAGTCTAGAAAGAGCTGCTTTACTGATGCCGTATAAGCAGGAGTTAGAGTAATCCAGCCTTGAAGTGATGAAAGTGTGGACCACAGCTTTCAGAAGACGGACACTGAGGATGTGTTTTAGTTTTGAGATGCGTCTTAGTTGGTAAAAACATGATTTAACTGTGTTATTGACCTGGGCATCCATCTTCAGAGCCTGGTCCATTTTTACTCCAAGGTTGGAGACCTTATATCAGCAAACCTGCCGTCTGAAGCTCAGCTGTGATGAGGCTCACTTCTAGTTCCTGGAAAAGCTGCACCAGTTTTTAATCCCCAGAGTACAATTTACAAGTCATTCATTCCCACTAGACCACTGAAAATGTATTGATTAAAAGAGCTTCCTGCACCTTTAATTTGCCAGTAACATGCTGGTGCACTGTTTCTCTAAAGCTTTACTGTCAGCCACAGGCCTGCTACAACACCAATCTCTCTAATCCCCTTTATAATCTCACACAGAGTGATAAACTGAAGGAGACAACTGACATTTTTTGATATGATTTCTAAAGGGTTTTACTGTACTCTATAGATTTTCTACTTTTTTTTTTCATGTTGGAGAATATTTGTCACAGTGAGGTTTAAACCAAAAGGCTCAATTTAGCTAAAAAGTAAAAACACTCCCAGTGGATGCGTGATTGGATAAAGAAGTTAACCTCCAATTTAATGAGAGTGCTGCTGTCAGAGCAGAGCTGTTTCAGTTTTCCACTTAATTTCAACTAGAAGATAGAAAAGGAAAGGAAAGTTTTATTTTATTTTAAATAAGTGTTCTCATTTTACACCACATCTCTTTTAAATTTGGAATCATATTTTTCACATTGGTTCCAGTGCCTGTTCGCTGTTGGAAAGATTTCCAGCGTATAGAGAAAAAAAATTCAAATATTCCAAGACCTAATTCTTTCCAGCTCTTTGCTATCCTTAACTTCATGTGGTGAATTTTCTTTTTGACAAGAAGTCATAAAACAAACCACAAGCTACTTCTGAAAATCCATGCAATAAGTACTTGTGTGCATATTCCACAAAGGAGATAAACCAAAGGTGTCTTTCAGAGTTTGTGCTTGTATAAAGGAAGCAGAGATGTGCACAGAGCGCTGTATGGGCAAAAGCAGGTCATGTTAATGAGGTGTGTGTGGGGTCATATGTGAACTTTTTTTGTCTCAGAGGGTTTGCAAAGGCTGCACTTGCAGCTGGTCTCCTTTCTGTTTATGCACTGCACCGGTTTATGACACGCTGCACACACCAGAGATTAAAAACAATGCCAAACTGGGTTATGCATGTCCAAACCACACTTCCAGCCCTCCGACGTTGCTTTCTTATGCAATTTTCCTTATCTGCATTTCATTCTCGGCTCGCTCTTCCTGCTGAGCATCTGTCTTTTATATCTCATCACTGTCAACCTCATTTCTTGCTTAAACATAGAATGAGAGTTTCATTTTCTTAATTAGCTTTTTGTCGATTCTTTTGCAAAAGAAAGTCTTTTTCTTTAACCAGAGGACCAAGCCAGCGGTAATCACACTAATGGGGAGAAATCAAAGGGGCTGCTGAATCACCCTTTAAGTGCTCACATATGTTCTTCCTCCGCTCTTCCTGCTCAATCATCTTCAGCCTCTCTTTTCTGCTCTTCACATATGATTTTAGCAAGTGGGCTGCAACCTGTGACATCACTATTGTGCAATAAATGACAAAAATGGGTGCCTTCGCTTTTATATGTGCTGCTGTTTCCTTCCAGATGTGCTTATTATCAAAGCAGGCAGCTGTGTAGCTGCAGGGGCCCAAGGCAGGTTTGAGCATGGACCCCAGGTCTGAGCTTCTTCCTCTGTGCACACTGCAAACATTCCAGGCAAGCTGAGGGAGGATCATCTCCATGGACACGCCAACACACACTCACTACCCAGACAGACAAGGAAAAAAGAGTCCCAGCTGTGTACACAAATCTCTAAATGCTATCCGAGGTAATTTGTTCAGTCTAGTTCTAAAAGTTTGTCACAGATTGGATATTTTGAAGAAATGTTTCTAAAGATCATTTACCGTTAAATGAAATGTTTGAGATTATGTCAGAGTAAAGATAATCCTCATCTCGCAACACGAGCAGCTGGTCAGATTTAATTATCTTAAATTGTGAAATCAAATTGTCATCAAATCTACATTTCAGCACAACCGTTAATATATCCCGCAGCATTTTTCATTATTTTATCATGTTATTGAATCCTTACAAAAGGTCACTCGTAAAATATCATATCATAGATTTTAACGACATCCTGAATGAGCTCAGGCACCTAAAATAAAATCCAAAAACACAGAAGAGGAGGGTTAATGGTCAAAGTATGCCTTTTAGAATCTTTCGCTAATTTTTGCTGAAATTTTTTGACTTCTTTCAAGTAAAAATTATGCTGTCATTGTTCTTACATGGAGTTCCATTTATAAAGTAATACTCTGACAAAAATAATTACATTTAGTCCTGTTTAGCTCAATGGGTGTGACATTCTGAGTAACTGTAATCCCTCATTCAGTCATAAAAGTTTCTATTTGAATACAGATATTAAAAAAATATTCTATTCAACCCTGTGAATATTTGAAGCCTATTCCTAAAAAAAAATGGTAAAAATGGTATTTAATGGTAAAATAGTTTAAATGGCCTTGTGGTGCTGGGTTATTAATTTGATTGGAATTATTACTATTTCTTCTGTAGTGTGAGGGTTGTTTTGGGCCTGTTAAGGAACTAATGTCACAGGGTCCCCCACCTGGCGGACCCTAGGCTTAGGCCTTGTCCACACAGTGAAGTTTTTTTTAAACGAATATCCTCCCTTCGCCCTTTTTTATTTTTATTTTTTTCGAAAAAACTCAATCCATTAATCCACACTTAACTCATTCATTGCCAGCCGTTTTCTGATCAGAAAAGCCCTTCTCTGCCAGCGTTTTTCAGCATGTACTGTTTTTTTTAAAGAGTCACAGAGCGTTGTGCTCTATGATGATGTCAACGCCAAACCTAACAAAACAAAGCGGAGACTCACCTCTTACATCAAGAAGAATCTGTGCATTTCGAGCGTTATCCATTCTTTTATAATCCGTTGTCGAATTGTGATCGGCAGAAGCTTTTCTGGTTCGCGCCTCACCTTATTTTACAGCAGCGGCCCAAAACGATCTCCTAACACATGGATTTTCTGCTTCCTGATCACGTGACATGTGATGTATGTGGATTTTCTGCTTCCTGATCACGTGACATGTGATGTATGTGGATGAAGATCGGCTTTAGAGCTGAGATGTTTTTTCTCACAGTGTGGGGACTCGTTCCAACGCCCACACAGTAAAACAATGCAAATGACGATTGGCAGTGAATGAGTTAACTGCATAAGTTGCCTGACCAGCCAGCCCCATGCTTCCTAATGAGAAGCATTGGGTCTGGGAACTCCTCTTTTCAAATAACCCCACCCCCTTAGAATTCTAATCGAGCCAATCAGCGCTGAGCAGCGTAAGTAACACACAAACATCACAACGCTGAGTTTCTCACAAGCAATGAAGATGGCGTCTGAAGCAGAGTTCGCAGCAACTCTTTCCTCTGTTCTAAATTACTTGAACATGTCTTTAAAACAGCAACAAGTAGAAGCGCTAAACGCCTTTCCTCTAAAAAAAACATGTTTGCGACGTCGCCAGACGCCATTTTGGACTACAGCTAAAAAAACTACAGCATCACGCGGCACAATTAGCATTTCTGCCTTTTTTTGCCTGGTTATTTTTGAGCTGGCTAGTCCCGCCCCCCATGTGCCTCTCCAGCTGTGAGAAACCAGACTAGTTCTCTGTGCAGAAACGGAGGACGGGTCTAGCAGGCCAGGC